ACATATTTCCACGAACCGCATGTGGCTCTCGAGTCCCGGTTTGGCCAACCCTGTTTTATAACATTTAGTAGAATAAGAAAAACGCCTTTAAACATTTTATTACAGAATTCAAAAACTATTAATAGTATTAAATATTTAAAAACGCTATAAAAAAAAATGAACTTAAATGATGACTGATTATTATTATTATATTTAATTCAATAACTTAAATTCTAGTATGGAATATATTTTCTGTCTGCCTTCCCGCCTGCCAGGATTTTTACAGCTCGTGCATTTGAATACACATGTTCATCTTTCTTTTCTCTTTTACCTTTCTCTACCCTCTGATCTCTATCTTTCTCCTTCGTCTATTTTCTTCCCAGTACTTTTGCCCCACTCGCATATTTGTATGTATTCCTCTTTTACCCAGAATTCCTCTGGCTACGCATGTACACTAAACTCAATATTCGCAAGACACACAACACGTATTTTAAATATCTGACTACACCTCTTTAATTTTACGACACATGTATATATCATAGTACACATGCCCATTACACTGACGTACGTTTTGTTGAAACAACGCCGTCAAACGAGATTTGTGTCGCTCTCGCATTGTCAAAACGAGCCCAGCTTTTGTCGATCGGCTTTCTATTAATACCCACACGTGGAATAGGGAGTTGTGATACCCTTTTTTTTAAACGAGTTTTGTATCTGCATAAGGGAAAATAGTTTACGTACTAAACAGGAGTTGATCAGCATTGTCATTAAGAATCTGCCTTCATTAGAAAGCAACGTAGTGAATGAACATGTGATATTGAGTCAATTCACCGTCTGTTTTGTTTCTAAACTGTTGTATTTTTACGAACGAACTTAAACTTAAACGGGAAAAATCTACATTGAACCCATAATCAGAAAAAGGCCTGTCTTCTGTTACTCGTCCTTTTTTCGTGGATTTAACCATTTTCAATTCCTGAATAGCGGTAAGTAAAAGAAGAAAAAACTTTCTAGTTTGTCTTTCTTTCCTTTTTTTTTAGTTTGTTATTCCTCTGTTGTATTTATTTTAATCGGTGTCACTGTTAAAAAAAAAGGAAATTTTGTTTTATTTACCTGGCACTAAGCGGTGATATTTACAGTTGATTAACGGGTCTGATTCTATGGCAACAAGGGAGAAGTTATTTGATCCTTTTCAGCAAAAGTTGGGTAAAAAAAAAACAAAAAAAAAAACACATTTCTATTGCATTTGGAAAATTATTCACCAATAAAAGGCTTTATAGTTTATAACTAATAGCAGTAGGCATGAAAAAATTTACAGTTCTTATTTTAATTTTTCGATATATCCTAATTTAATATTAATGATTGAATAGATGAATGCACGACTATAAAATAACCTTAGACATTGCATCGTTAAATATTTGTTGCTAAAAGAAGATTTAACAAAACATTACAATAACAACCATATATATAGATGCAGGTCAATATATAAAGAAATAAGAGGGTCAATATGAAAAGTATCAAAATTGAAAAAGATTTTCATTTCACTGAAGCAGACGTTATAGGATCTTATGAGTCAAGAGTAGAATTTGAAGAGAATTTATGAGCAAAACATTCTGTTTTATCATCAGAATATGTTAACACCACAAACCGAGTAAATAGAGGAGGTATAGATGACTCTTATTTAACACATTATTACAGAGCTGCCCGTATTTACGAAAACCAAACTTGTTAGAGGTTATATTTATTCTGCCAGCAAACAAATACTTGTCCTCTTTGATGACAAATTTACAATTATTACAATCAGATACAAAGAGGCATCAGTTGTGATCGGAAGTATCACGCAGGCTCAGCCGGAAAAAGTGATTCCTGTGGGCTATAGCGGCTGAACAGGTAAGTGCGAACCAAGGAGAAGATTATGCTTTCATCTGGTATTTCCGATAAGGTAGAAAAGTATCAATGCCGGCTTTAACCCGAGAAGAAATCACTGACACTATTCTCAATAGGAAGGTTAAAAATATCAATCTAGAGGTCTAGAAGAAAGTTACGAAAGGAATCCCAATCATCATGCTGATAACAAAAAGAAATCTTGTAAATATGAGGTTCCTGTCTAATAGATGACACACAAAAAATCAACATATACTACAGCGTGATGCAAATTGCCAAGAAGACAGAGTGTGGATGATCGATAAAAACAAAAAGAGGAGGTAAGAAAAATAAAGTAAAGAATTACAACATCTTTTCTATCAGAACTGATAAATTCTACTATTTCCGCGCAATACAACTTTGAACATAAGCAGAGGAAACATTGATAACTAACCCATTTAAAATGGCTAATGAAATGACTGAAAGAACATGGTACAATAATCATTGAAAACTGTAAGAATACAAGAAAAACTTAATATAAATTTCATAATATTTTCCTTTACAGAGACATTCAATGAAACGTGTATAAAAAAAAGATTGCTATCCATATATATATATATATATATATATATATATATATATGTGTGTGTGTGTGTGTGTATATATGTGTGTGCGTATATATATATATGTGATATATATATATATGTATGTGTATGTATATATGTGTGTGTGTGTGTATATATATATATATATACATATATATATATATATATACACATACACACATATATTTATATTATATATATATATATATATATATATATATAACATATGTATTTTCCATATATATTATATATGCGCGGTGCTTATTGGGAAGTGCGCAATATCAGTGATAGTTTGTCTGATGATCGCAAAAGCGTGAAACCCAGGGTCACAACCTCATATCCATACAACTATATATAAATATATTCTATCATGGCTGAGTCACAATTTTATACACGGCTTCTCTTACTCTCAAAATTATGATCTTCCTTGACATCTACAGTCAGTATTGGAGTTTTACACTCAAAGACATGGGTCATGACTCAGATTCCTTGATGTCTGCAGTTACACTCGAGGCTTCATTCTCAGTCATGTGGGTCATGAGATTTCTTGATGTTCACAATTACTTTTGGTACTTCTCTTTTAAAGAGTTGGATCATGACATTCTTTTGTGTCTAAAGTCACTATTGGAACTTCACAACCATTTTGGGATAAAAAAAAAAAATATATATATATATATATATATATATATATATATATATATATATATATATATATTAAGAAATGGACAAAGTCCGACAATTTATTAAAGACATTTTTATGTTTAACATTCTTTTTATAAATACAAGTATTTAAGTAAATGCTCTGTTTATAATAAACAGTATTAAATAACATTTACCGCCTGAATGTCCGAGAAATTTTCATAGAAAATATTCGTTCTTTGACAGGATTCGAACCTGCATCCTATATATATATATATATATATATATATATATATATATATATATATATATATATATATATATATATAGCCAGTTCACCCTGATGATCCTATGTGGTGAAACCTAGGTAGGTAGTACCTGGCTCATTAAGATTTATTTATTTTACTTTTGCTCTGCTTAGTGTATTGAGCACTCTTCGTTTTAACGTTGTTTTTTTTTCTTCTTTGTACCAGTGATTTAAGGTACTGGACGATTTCTTTCGCCATGTTTGGATGTTTCTGGTGTTTTCTTTTTTTTTTTTTTCTTTTTTCCTTGGATGCCAATTTTTTTTTTAAATTGTGTTATCCAGGTTTTTTTCACCGACCGAGTTTAAATAGATTTTCCCAGACCAGTGTTTCAATGACTAAATGACAGGATACTAACTTAGGGAAGTGGGTTGGGTCGATAATTTTTCAGCGCCCAATCGTATGCGATTTTTTTTTTTTTTTTGCTAATCTTCAACCAATACAAAGAGAGTTACTCTGTGGAGTTGTATTAACATAAGTAAGGCCAAGAAGTGAAGTTCTTGGCGCTATGTAGGAAAGATAGCATGTAATTCTAAATTTGAAGAGGTCAAGATTTAATTACATAATAAAATTTCAGAGTTCAGGCGGGGACATTAGAAGTATAGAATTGAAGTAGACTTTAGAAGAAACCAGAAACGCAATCCTAAACAGGGAACAAAGGATAGACCTCTACTCCTATTCAAAAAAACTGAGGAGGAGTATAAACAGGACGATAGGCGAACCTAGCTACGCTTATTGTGGAAGGAGAAAAATAAATAATTCGTGAAAAATAATTCAAAGTTCAGGCGGGGACTTTAGAAGTATAGAGTTGAAGTAGACTTTAGAAGGAACCAGAAGCCCAATCCTGAACAAGGAATAAATCTCTACTCCTGTTAAAAAGATTGAGGAGGAGTGTGAACCGGTCGATAGGCAGAGCTCAGTTACAGGGAAAGATAAGAGAGAGTGCTGAAAAGTTCTCGGTTCGAATCATTTCTCAAAACAAAAATAAAAAGAAGAAAAGCTGACCAAATCGGTCTGAGAACCTATTATCATCTCGTAAGATTAAAAGAGAAATTAAGCAAAGGACTTCAAACGCCGGGTGGTGGATTTGATCTCATTTTAAATGTATATTTGCTCCAGATATTATACAAACCTTAATAAAATTATTATATTTCAGAACGGTTGGATTACTTTTCAAGAAAAATATTACTTGATGCTTGTAAGAGAGGAATTCTAAAGTTACACAAATTAATCCCCGGTATAAAAATCAACGTGTATTAATTACGAACCTAAATTCTGATATTCAACCTTTACTGAGATACTTGAAGCGGCTTCTAAACAATTTAACTTGTGGTGAATCGTCAGTATAGGTAAAATCAAAAGATTAATTATTAAGGTTTTACTTCAGTTTATCGTTATCGAAATGGGAATAAATTCTTTACATAGTTTATAATTGTTAACAACTCAGTAAAATTTCTCTTGATAATTGGAGAGAATTTTCTGCTGAATCCACAACAGTAAAATACACGTGTTAGTCAGCTGGTTAAACGAAGTGACCGTAGCTTACTTTGAGAATCTTCTCTCTTTTAAGTCGAAACAAAAATTCCTCTCTTACAAGGAATATTACTATATAATGTATTTTATTATGTCAGCAAAATATATAACATTCTTCATTTCAATTTTTTCCTTTTTTTTACTTCTTACTTTTTTCTTTCTTTCTTCCTTTCTTTCTTTCTTTCTTACTTTCTTCTTTCTTAAGTCGTTTGCTCTTGTCTTTCCTTCCATTACTTTGTTTTTCAATTTGAGTTTTCAGTTTTCCACTTCGCTTTTTCCCCTTTCCGTTTTTCTTTCATTATTTATTAGCACTGTTTTCCTCTTCTTTCTTCCTTTTTTCCTCTTCTTCCTTCCCTTTTTCCTTTTCTTTCTTTCTTTTTTCCTCTTCTTCCTTCCCCTTTTCCTTTTCTTTCTTCCTTTTTTCCTCTTCTGTCTTCCTTTTTTCTTCTTTCTTCCTTTTTTCTTTTTCTTTCTTCCTTTTTTTCTCCTTTCCTCCTTTTTTTCTTCCTTTCTTCTTCTTTCTTCCTTTTCTTCTTTTTCTTTCTTCCTTTTTCTTCTTCTTTCTCCCCTTTTTCTTCTTTTTTCTTCTTTCTTCCCTTTTTCTTCTTCTTTCTTCATTTTTATCTTCTTTTTTGCCCTTTTCCTTTTCTTTCTTGTCTTTACCTTTCCTTTCTTTTTTCTTCCTTTTCTTCCCTTTGTCTTTTTCTTTCTTCCTTTCCGCCTTTCTTAGCCTGTACGCATACTTACATCCTATGATTCCCTTTTTGTATTTTCCATTTCATATGGCCATTATTTGAGCAGTTACTAATTAATAAAGTTGTTCAAATTATTCATCGATAAAGTTTTTGACATTTGAAGTGATTGGAAATGAACATTCCAATCACTTCAAACATGAAAAACTTTATCGATGAATAATTTGAACAACTTTATAGAAAATCTTATTCACATCAAAATATATACATTTGCTAATTCTGACATTGACTTCTCTACAGATTCTAAGGAAAATATAATTTTACAAGCATTAATAAAAATGTTCTGTCTTTTTAATTTCTTACAGTTTTAGATGATTGGTGTTTGCAAACATTTTGCTGACGCCATTAAAGAATCAATACGCATGCGCACAACACCTTTCAGAATTGAAAAGCAGTATCTTAAGAGTCCAAAATATTAATATAATGTATTACTTAAATTACATTCAGATACAATATTGAGTTATTGAGATAGATATATTTTGGTGTTCTTTTTTGAGTCGACTGAAATGTCGCTAAAAGCTTTTTGTCAAACTTTCAAAATGAAATTTACATCGAATCAAGCCAAGGTATAGGTGACTTCATCTGCAAATATTTTCAGTTTGCTTGGGCAATGAAGGAAACTGTTTCTATACTGAACTATGTTAAATGATTTACAATGCAAATAAATCTTAATTGATTTTCTTGAGAGTACATAATAGTAACTGCATTCCAAATTATTTGTGAACTATTTTTTTGAAGACATTTTTTTAGAAATAAATATTTTTTCTTTTCAGTGAAAAATAAAAATTCTTACTCTAATTTATGAAAGGCACAAAACCTTGCAACTACCGTACAGTTTTTTTAAGTTCTTACAAACTTCGCAAACAATATCATTGTTCATCATTTTCCGTTGATAGAAAAATAAACACTATTATAAAGTATTATTTTTTAATTAAGAAAATAAAAGGAATTGTTTTTATTTCTGTAAACATTGTATATTTTGACAGAAATTCTTTTATACATGTTTCATTGAAAAAGGACAAGGAAAATTTGAAGTTTTTTATTCAGTCAACAATATATTTCACCTGCAGACATTAGCAAACGTATAAAACTTACTATATACGATAGAAAAAAAACTGTCAACCTCATAATTGCCAATAACAACACGCCCATGAAATCCAAACTTCAAATCTCCAGTGTGATCTATCAAATACAATGTCAAGTGTAATTTTGTGGTTCTTACAATTAAGAAAAGTCCTCAAATGAATACATTGGTGATTCGACAAGCTCTTTAAGTAGATGACTAACTAAACCCTTCTTGCACCAATAAAAAATATTGTAGATAATACTTTCATTTTAAAAACATCTATTTCTAAAAGACGTTTAAAGATAATGGAAACACTTTTTTACAAAATAGTACAGACCTACACTTAAACGACTTGCTTTGGAAATGACCAAAATATTGGGTGATATATATATATAGAGAGAGAGAGAGGGAGAGAGAGAATGGCTAAATTGTCGCCATTTTATATTTTTAATTTCGCAGATGGAAACGGTAGGCTGTACTTCTTGGCATTCGCACCGAAAGCTCCAATACGAACATTTCAAAGTATTTGGGTGTCAATCTGAAGACAGTGCTGAGATGGATGACTCTAATGCTGATTACGAAGGTGCTGTAGCTCGGAAAACTCACTCTGAACTCCAGAATTTATTGATGAGATCCAGGCCATGATTGAAAACGATCCATCCAAGTCAGTCAGTGTCATAGCCAGGGAAGTAGTGCTGCCCTGAATAATGAAGGTGGCTGCTGGAAGATCTTATATCTGGCAACAGGACTTTGCATCATCCCACACAAAAAGGAGAACCCAGTCCGGTCTGTTCGATAATTTCTGCGACCACTTCACACCTTAGATCTGGCGACCTAGTCCCCAGACTACAACCCCCTTGATTATTACGTGTGGGGTGTAGTTGAGCGAGAGACCAACAAAACTCCTTGTGACACCAAAAATGAACTAAAGGTAAGGTTTATGACAGCATTCAACAACTTAAACACGGAAATCGCTCAGAAGAGATGCAAGAGATCCCGAAGACGACTGGAGGCCGTTTTTATCAAATGAATTTACTCTTTAGTATTTCAAAATATTTTCGTGTAATTTTTGGTAAATATATCTGTTAAACTGAGATGTCAGTCTTGCTTTTAATTTAGTTCGTCCTAGGATAGTAAAAAATTGGTCATTAATATTTGAGTCTAAGAACTTATTTGGTCGTAGTATAGGCATATATTGGTCATTTATATTTGAGTCTGTAAGCATCAACTTCGTCCTGGGATAATAAAATATTGGTCATTTATATTTAAGTCTATAAGAATTTACTTGGTTCGGGGACATATTTGTGTCTATAAGCATGTACTTGGTCCTGGGATAGTAAAATATTGGTCATTTATATTTAAGTCTAAAAGCATTTACTTGGTTCGGGGACATATTTGTGTCTATAAGCATGTACTTGGCCCTGGGATAGTAAAATATTGGTCATTTATATTTAAGTCTATAAGCATTTACATGGTTCGGAGACATATTTGTGTCTCTAAGCATGTACTTGGTCCTGGGATATTGAAATATTCATTAGACATGTTAAGAGTTAAAATATTGTGACTTGTAACGGAGAGAGTTTCTTCTTTGGTGCCACCGATCAGTGATCAAACCAACAATAGTCTTGAATGATGATTCTTCAGGCAGAAAGATCCTCCCTACTTATAATATTGGCGCAACTCAGACTTCCCAATCATCAGTTCCTCATATTTTAGTCTTGCTTTAGACTACTCTATATCCAGTAAATATCTTTAAGGCAACAAATTTAAGGTTTATAGTCCAAGATGTTTATACTCTACATAAACAGGAACAAGCCAAATTTACATTGTTTATATTCGGACGATTGCTCCCATCTTTGTTGTTTTTTTCAGCCGTTCTGCCCTCCGGCCTTCCCCAAATGTATATTCAGAAATTCAGACAAAAATCAGATTGAATTATCTTAAGTCTTAGCTGATCGTCGAAGGGGACCCCTTGCTTTGTCGTTTAAGATATTTTTATGTGCAATTTCGTTTTATTAGCAATGATCACTTCCTCTCCAAGTAAACGCGACAAGTTCTACTGCATTACATAATACTAAAAGCGGAATGTAATTCCTGATTTGGCCTGTTGGGAGAAATGGGATCATGCTTTTTCTCTGGGACATTAGTGTAAAGTGAACGGGTCACAGAACACGTTTTCACATAGTCCAAGATGTTTATATAAATTGGGACAAACCAAATCGATATTTACATTTTATATTCAGGCGAGTACCCTCGTCTTGGTTGTTTTTATCACAACGTTTCGGCCGTTCTACCCTGCGGCCTTCCTCAAATGTATATAGAACTGGGTAACCTACAGGGAATTCCGAACTGAACACTTTATTTAATCTACGAAGGCAGGCTGTTCTCGTTCCACTGATCATGTCTAGGTATATCGTCTAGTACTTATTTTACTTTTCACTTATAGCTCGCTCGTTTTCACTGAGTGCAAGTACATAGTGCCCGACCCCAGGATAATGGGTAAAAGTTTTGGCTTGTGAATTTGGTGATATAGTGGTTATGTGTTCCATAAAGATTGAATAAAGGATTTCATTTCAGAATTCCCTGTAGATTACCCAGATCGATATACACCTGAGGAAAGTCGGAGCGTACAACAGCTGAAATGTTGTGCCAAAAACAACAATAATTGAGGACAATGACAAACAGTGTAAATAATGATAGCTCCTCATCCTAGAAATTCAGGCAAAAAACAATTCGAATTATCTTATGCCTTAGCTGATCTTCGTGGGGACTAATTGCTTTGTCCTTCAAGGTATTTTTATGTGCAATGTGGTTTTATTAGCAATGGTCACTTCCTCTCCAAGTAAACGTGACAAGCTCTACTGTATTACATAATACTAAAAACGGAAAGTAATTCCTTATTTCGCCTGTTGGGGGAAGTGTAACATGCTTTTTCTTTGGGACATTAGTGTAAAGTGAACAGGTTACAGAACACGTTTCACATATTCAAATATGTGTGCCAACGATTCTATATTTCCATAACTTGGAGCAGTATCGCTCAAAGTGACTTGTTATTCCTACCTTGTTTTATTGGGAGAAGTGCCTTTTCTGAGGTTATTAGTGCAATGTGAATGCAATCTATCTCAACAGGAAATTGAACTCGTTTCACATTCTGCATCCCGTCCTGGGTAAGACGATAAACTACGCCCAACAGCAAGGCCTCTGATCAAGAGGTTTCGAGGAGCGTGGAACCACCTGTTAATTGCTGGTGTTCCCAGGTCCACCCTGACCCGGGGTGGTAGCACCTGTTAGGATCCGAGCTATGGGCAAATAGTTAACCCACAAACTGGGGTTAAAACACTATGAAAGTAAATAAAATAGGTTTTAATAGAGAAATACTTTGTAAAAAATTATTAAATTTCCCAATTTAAAATTCGAGAGGAACATATCAAATTCAGTGAAGTCAAAAGCCGTAGTGAAGCTCGGTGGAAGTGTCATTGGCATGAAGAGCATTACACATTCAGCTCGCTTCAGGTGAGTTTCAATTACTTTCCAGTAATTTCCTTCTTACCAGCAATAAATTTTTTGAAGAAAAAAATTATTACCAACAATACATTATTGAAATAAAAAATTACGAGCCATACATTTTTGAAGAAAAAATATTACCAGAAATAGATTTTTAAAGGAAAAGAGCAAGACATTTTTTAAAAAAAATATTACCAACAATAAAAATTTTGTCGGCATTAAATGATCCATTGAGGTTGATATGCCGTAGAACAAACCTAAGCAAACCATTCTGCATCTCCACAAATTGGAGCAGTACCGGCCAAAATGTGGGCGAAGATTCCAACGATAGGAAGATGAGTCAGATTAAACCGATATCTTTGCAGGTGGGAGGATTTAAATCTCATATTTAAGAACCGCCATAATTTG